TTTTTTTACTTTATTTAAAACTAATATGATTTTTTTATTAAAATTAAAGGAAAAATTACACATAACCTACTTGTAGTTTAAGGTAAGTGCATTTAAAGGCTTGTGGTATGAAAATATGCATTTAAAGGCTTGAGGTATCAAAATATGCATTTAAAAACCTATGTTTTAAACCTTAAGTACTAAACCACTCTTGCCATCCAAATGATGTTAAAATTATGTGTAATATCTTAAATACTCTTAACCTAAAAAATAAAAAAAAAATAAAAAAGGAGAGAAAAAACTCAACTGTCGTACAGACTATCTTTCATAATAATTCTCAAAGACCAACTAAAGGGAAAATGAAAACCAAACAAAATAACTCTTTGCAGGTAATTGAACAAAATCTTTTAATCTATTGTAATTTATATTCCAAAGTGAAACTTTGTTTCTAATTTTCTTTTATTGATTTTTTTGTGTTTGGTTGGAAATTTTGTTTCTTGTTGTGGATTTAAAAAGTAAGGATTTTATTTGAAAATTGAAAGGTTTCACCTTAGTCATCTATGGTTATAAATAATATATTTTTAATTTTATGCATATTTAGTTTTAATTAGTTTCAACAGTACATGCCAATTATGAATATTTTATACATGGGCAAATTAATTTTTTTTTTCAATTGAATTATGCAAGTAGTTTGAATGTGGCTAGTTAAAATAAATGAATTAATTAATTATTATCATTTTTTATGATTTTGGTTGATGGATGGTAATGAATTGCGAAGAAATGATGAGACTATAAGTGGTTCTAATGAGTCAAATGAACTACAATTCAACTTTTGGTGCTGGGCAAGACAGTGGTGTTAGGCAAGAAGAGCGTTAGAGAAATTAAGATAAAAAGTAAAGTTTTCCGTTAGGTTTTTAACGACAAAAGTGTCTAGCTATTCTTATTTCAAAAAACAGGTCTTTAAGTGCACATTTTGATACCACAAACTTTTAAATGCACTCATCCTAAATTATAGGTAGGTTAAGTGTAATTTCTCCAAAAATAAAAATAGTGTATGATTACACTATTATAATTTATTTTATTATTATTATTCTTTTTATAAAATTTATAATTTTAATAATAAAAAATATAAAAAATACACTTAGTTGTCTTTAAATATGTCCTTATCAATTATTTAATTTAAACAATAACAACTAATTATTGTATATCTAAACAATTATATTAAT